AGATATCACTGATTAGGGGCTGGGTTTGACGCTCAGTGGTAGATACACTTTCCTGGCACGTGTGAGACACTGGGTTTGATTCTCAGCACTAAGTAAAAATAAATAAAATAAAGGTACTGTGTCCATCTGCAGCTATAAATAGTAAAAAAGATATCACTGATTATAAGATATATTAGTTATGTGTCACTAAGAACCCAAACACCCAAACACTGTTGATTTAACTGTGACATGCTATTGTCTGTAAAAATGTTGAATATGTTAATGTGAAAATCTCCATCTCAGAATTGATCAAATGTAGTGTTATAACTACTATGAAAACACTTGATTCAATCCTCACCCTATGACTCAGGATTTGGAATTTATTCATAAATATTTCAACTTATATAGTATTTTCATTACTAAACTGGAGCTGGAGGGTTACATACCTGTTTAGTGTATGAGGGGATTTTTTAAGGATTGAAGTTTGGTAAAAGCCTTCATGCTCCTTCTTAAAAAAAAAATAAAGGTGTGTAAGTCTTCATGTTCAACTGAGGCATTTGTTTCCCTGGAGACTAAACCTTTCTGCAACCTAAGCGCAGCTCTGCCACAGCCACAGGCCTCTCCATTAATCTCAGCGATGACGTCCTGAGTATGTGGAATAATAACCCACAGCCCAGTAGCTAAACCAGGCAGGAAGCTAAGAAATACCTATCTAATAGAAAGGTTCACTCGATTATAGCCACCTGTTAGCTGGAAAATGCTGATACAGCAAAAAGAGATATAATAGATACAATTTCAGATACTGTTCTTTGGTTGTTCCCTTTAACCTCACAAGCATAACAGAGAAGGGGATGCAGCCAGCTGACTCCTCCCATCCTTATTAGAGACAAAGTTTAAAGATTGAGTTTTTGATTGGTAATTCATGATTTTCTGAGGCTTTTTAAGATATTGTATGCAGTATTTTGAAACATAATTAGTTAATTCTAAACACTCATGCTAATGGGAAAGAGAGTCCACTGGCTTAGAGCAATAATGATCTCTTAGTTAAGTCCCAAGAAATATCTGTGGGTTGAATGGAAGAAGCGCTTGAAAACTTGGGGAAGTTTTGTGGTCCACCAGGAAGGACTGGGCTTGAGTAGACTTGGCCCTAGTGTGGCTTTATTACCAACCCTGTGGCCCTGGGCAACTTAATCTGTGTGCGACATGTGTGTCTCTGACTCCTCACATGAGCAGCCCTGATAACACCTGCTATGTGACAGGGCAACTGTGGAGGGATGAGAGATTAAATGATGCCCGTGAAAGCATCCTGAAAAGTTAAAACATTTAAAACACATGATAGGCATTACTAGTCAACAGAATTGAACATACGGGCTCATTTCTGCTCTGCAACAGAATTAGTTCAGCGTCCAACTTCCTGGCCAGTGCCACTTCCAAGAACCCGATGTAGTGACTGATTAGTGATAATACGGGAATAGAAATAAAACATGTATTGTGGTGGCAGACACATTTAAAAGTATGAAATTTGGTTTAGTCAACAAAAGGCTTCTCATTCTTAAAATGCTGTGACAAGGAACAGGAAAAGGGGCTCTGAATGAGCCCTGCAGACTCTTGTGATGTCTGTGGACAGGCTTCAGGAGATCTGTGAACTCCTCAAAACTCCAGGTACAACACTGTTTTAAGGGAGAAGTTCAGTTTTTCAAAGTCTGGAGGCGACCGAAGCAGGGCTAGGGTGCTGCTCAGCAGCAGGGCGCTTGCCTGTGCAAGGCTCCGGCTTGTCCCCAGCATGGGTTCTGAAGATGAAGTGAGCCACATAGTTTGCCTTGTCTTTGATATTTGCTTATGTGATTTTATTTCTATTCCTTCTTTTTCACTATAGTGTGCTTCAAGACTACTATGAGGGCAACTAGGGCTTCTGAGATTAGAGGGTAGAGGGCAAGATAAATGACAATCATGAATAAACATTAAACACCAAGAGTCATCAGTGATGTTCTGATAACAATACCTTCAGGAAAGAAAAGGAAGAAAAAAGGAAAAGGCAATAAATCTCCTTTCTATTTTCTTTCTTTTTTTTTAAGACATGGGAAATGGAGCTAAGTATGTTTCCATGAACAGACACAGATCTACACAGGTGGCTGTCAGGACAGGTAACAAAAGAACCGCAGAACTCAGAATGAGGCTGAATAGAAAGGCGGGTTGCTCACAGGCCAGCCGCTGCCAGCAGTACTACAGCCCTCGTCTTTAGTACCCATCACTTTAGGAATCCTCCAAGCAGACAGTTTCCTGTAGAGAATGCAGCTCAGTTTTTGAACTGCTCTTTTGCACTAAAAATATCAAATCAGAGTATGAGCCAAGGATAAAAGAAACTGTATTCCAATCACAGTAAACATTAAAATTTTAAAAAGCTGACAATTATTTTGAGGTTCTTGTTGACGTATAACTCAAAACGAACCTTCAGAAAAAGGTTTTCTATGATATTTTGTAATACTAATTGGCTTGAGCATACTTAATCCCTCCAGGAAAAAAAAAATTATGCAAAGCAGAACCAAGCCTACCCTAAATTAAATTATCTGCTGGTGAATTTCATGAAAACATGTTTCACCTGCATCCGGGGAAGTCAGCTGGCTTTTTGTTTCAAGACACTACTCTTGGCTTGGTAGGATCTACTGCAGCTTTTGGCAATCAACTCAGGATCTGGCTAATGTGTGATGCACCAGCATAATAACTTATTAATTTAAAGGGAATGAAAAGAAACTGAGATCCAGTGAACTCTGATGTTTATGGATGAAATCTTCATGAGGTATGGGGCATGATCTACAGATTATTATACGATAGTAAGGTTTTCAAAAATTCAGATACTGGTGACAAAATATAATGGAGATTTTGGAAATTCGCTTTAATTTATTTGTAGTACTGGGAAATTAAACCCAGGCCCCCGTACATGCTAGGCAAGTGGTCTCCCACATCCAGAGCTACGCCCCAGCCCTGAAATTGACTTTAGAATGCACTTCTAAAAATATTAAGGTGATTGTGTTTTAGTCATAGCTTAGAACATAAATTTGTTGAAGTCTTTAAAACAAAATTAGTAAAAAACAAGTTATACTCTATACTTAAAAATAATCTAAGCCAGGTGTGGTGATACACATCTGTAATCCCAGTCAACTGGGAGGCTGAGACCAGCCTGGGCAATAAAGCAAGACCTTGTCTCAAAAAAAAAAAAAAAAAAAAAAAAAAAAAAGGCTCGTGATGTAGCTCAGTGGTAGGGGTAGAGCACCTCTGGGTTCAATTACCCAGTACCACAAAAGGAAAAAAAACCATATTTTTAAATTTAGTTTAAAATATGGGAAAATGGGAAACAAAAAAACTTGTCTAAGAAATCTCAAGATCAAATTGCAAAAGACAAGTAGATGAAGAAAGGAGTTACTGGATAGTTTCTTGCTCAGATGAGTACTCTGTAAATTTGAAATGAATAAATACTTTTTGATTTGCTGATGTCCTAAAAATTTACAAAGTGAACTTAGTTAAAAACTGTATGCAACATCTTGGTCACTATTACTAATGTGTAAAGTTTCTGAAAACAGAGTTTATTAATGTGGAACATCAAATAGTTTAGCTAAACAGTAGGTCACAATGTAGCTAGGACTGCAGTGAAAAAACAGATAATAAGAAAACACCTGACCAGAATCACACCTCAGTATGCACTAATATGCACATCGCTTCCACAGATAATAGGAAATTATTTAAAAAATGAGCAGTCTTGGTGAGTGGTTTTGCTTTGCACCTCAGACAATAAAAAGTCAGGATAAAAAAACAAAAAAGCAAGTAGTGTTAATTCTCTTCATTTCTGTTTTGGAGGGGGTTTGTTCGGGGACAGGTTAGCTCAAGCTTAATGAAAATCTCACCCACTGTTGGGGGCTCTATTGAGAAAGTTTATTGTTATCTTAACAGGAACATTTGTTAGAAAAATATCTTTTAAATGGTTATATTTGCATCTTTTTTATTTAAAAAGATTTTTTTTAGTTATACATGGACACAATATTTTATTTTGTTTATTGATTTTTATGTGGTATTGAGGATCGAACCCAGGGCCTCACTTGTATGAGGCAAGTGCTCTGCCACTCAACCACAACCCCAACCTATATTTGCATCTTAACTCATTTCTTATTTTTATTCGTGAGGCAATTGTTTATTTTCCTTAAATAAAAAGAACATCAAGGAATTCTTCAGATGCAAATTCTTATGGATTAAAGGGGAAAAGGTGGGAAGCCAATTTCAACTGTGGTGCACTTTGTTGGTCCTTTAAGTAAAAATGCGTGGAACACTGATTTATGTTTTTAACACAAAACAGAAGCTCTTCTGGAATCCAGAAATAACTTCACCAATAACACATTAGACCTAAGTGGTCCTAGCAGTTCAGGCCTAAGCTTCTTACAGACTACTGTTGCATACAACAGGGATACTATAGCCAATTAAAGAGCCCTAGGAAAATTTYCCTCTCATTTTGGCAAGGTGAGTTTGAGGATGCATTCTCCAGAATCTATTTCAGTCCTAGAGTAAAAATTCCCAAGATTTTGAGGTTTTCAGAGGCTTTGGATTTTGTTCTGACTTTTGACATCCTTCCCCTGAGAAAGTTCTATCCTCTCTTTGGCTTATTCTTTTCAGCCCCCGTTTCTTTCTCATCCTCCCTATTCTGTCTACCATGAGAATAGAGATTTCAGTACCTGTTCAGACCAGCTGTGCAAAYGGCTATGAGATCCCCACATCAGGATTTCATGAAACTTTCTCTAATTGTCAGGGCAGTGCTGTCTGGCACATTTTGCTTCTGTATGTCTTTTAAAAGAGCAGCTGTGTTTAATATTGTGAAATATGATCTGTCTCCTCTTCTCCCCACCCTCTAGAGCAGTGATAGATTTCAGAGCATGTTCGGCAGAATTGGATTATATTATGCACAGTATACATGTTCATCACCAAAACTGCACTTTCCAGAATGTATGAATGTGGAATGAACTGCTGAGACTTCAAAATCCCAGTTCCTCAGAACTGATTTTATTAGCCAATACATACCAAAGATGAGTAGTAAAAGAAATCTTATTTTTGCAGTTTTCTTTCATCCCTGAAGCACTGTCCTATTATGGACTGTGGTTTTCCAGTGTTCTGATTAAGCTTTGCTAGCCATGTGCCGCTGCAGCACCAAGGAAACGGCTTTGCAGCCTGTCACCTCTTCTGGCAGACAGCCGTCTTGGTCACGGAGAGTGGGATCAGCGCCGGACTGCAGCAGCAGCTCCACGATATCCACAAACTCACAGGCAGCAGCTGAGAGGGAAATGACAAATATGGAAGCGAGTTTACTGTGGGCCAAACTATCCCACCCTGGCAGGAAAGGCAAGCGCTGAGCAACGAGGACATTGCCCAGTGAGCACTTTGCCAGGGGCTGGAGGATGATCGGGCCTCACAGTGAGAACGTGGCCTGGCGCTGGATTTTCAAGTCTTAGGAAGATCAAATTTACTTTTTTTGGTTGCCTAGAAACACACACACACAACACACACATGCACACACACACAAATATGTTTTAAATWATGAGACTTTTTGACTGTGATCTTTTTGCTGTGGTGCAGGGGACGGAAGCCAGGGCCTCATGCAAGTCAGGCAAGTCCTCTGCCATTGAATTACATCCCCAGTCCTATACTATTCTTTAGGGATGGGTGAAGGCAAAGAGTAWAAAATACAGTGTGTAAGCATCTATTTTACTGTCATTTATATTCAGTATAATGACAGGTATATAGACCAGAAGGCTGTAAGTATTGTGTCAAAGAAAATGTTTTGTCTTTGAATGGTGGTTAAGTGCATAACTAACTTAAGCTTTAACATTTTAAATGAGAAAGAAAAGTAAACTGGCCTAGTAATCAAACCRTGAAATTAAAAACAAAAAAACAAAAAACAGCACCAGTGCGTATCACTAAGTCCAAGGCATAAGAAGGGGAAAGGGGCCTGTAGACATCAAGACTTATTATAAAGATAATATGCCCCAAGATGGACAGACAGACCAAAAGGTGGGAACAGAGCCATCTATTCTTTTTCACACACATRGAAAATTGATGTATGACAAAGCTGGTATCACGGACTAGTGAGGAAACAAAGGTCTAATAATTTCATGGGGCTGAGACCACTGGACTCAAGGCAAAAACTGGCATTTTACACAAGGTGAAACACGTGGCACTAAACATGAAAAGATGAGCACCGACAWGTGTGATCAGAGAACTGGAACCTAAAACCAAGATATCACTTTATATCCKTGAGATTTGTGAAAATTAAAAGCTTTGACAATACCAAGCATTGAGCAAGATGAGAAAAGGGGACACTCCYCTTTAGGTGTCTGAGAGGAGCTGCATACACAATCTGGCTACAGGACAAGCCTAAACACACACACCTCCACCCCAGAATTCCACTGCTGGTTCCGTGCATTTAGGAATGCTGCGTGTGTTCTCCAGGAGCTATTTCTAAGAATGGACACAGCAGCACTGTTCCTAATAGACCTCGAATGTAAACAATACAAATATTCACTGAGAGTAACAGTAATAATAAAACACTGTCACTTGCACAGCAAAATCCCACATAACACTGAAAACATGACCTGAAAACACGACCTTAGCTCCATAACAATGCTGAAGCAAAAAAAGCAAGTCAGAGGAATGCACTTGGCATGACTCTATTTAAACAAAAAATTTAAATATAGACAAGACTAAACCCTACTGCTCAAACATACAAATATGGAGTGAAACTGCAAAGGATCACTAGCATAAATTTGGGATGGAAGTAATCTCTGGGGAGGGCTGTGGGACTGCAGAGGAACACAAAGCCTTAATATATTTTTGGCGATGTTCTATATCTTAAGCTAGGTGGGGGGTATAATTTTAAAAACTGCATCTTAAATTAATCATATACATTTTATGTGTCATTTTGTACTTGATGCATCACACAGAAATAGAAACACAACTTTTTTTTTTGTTTTGTTTTTTTAAAGGGAAGGAAGTGGGAGAATGGAGCTTGATTCTATGGTCATTTTAATGGCCACAGACTGACCAGTCCTGTCAAGGTAAGATTCCTGCTCTTGAGAACTTAATATGTAAATAGCCAACTCTAGCACAGAAAATGAATAAGGACTGTGGCAGAGACATGCATACTGCAAAGGTAGGGAAGTTTGAAGTCCAAATTAGATTCAAATGGAAGACAGAAGACAGTTTCTTATACAACAAAGGAAGTTACAGATACACTGCCTGGTATCAAGCRGCTGTGAGAGAAGGCATTTATTTGTACAGAAGCAGCTACATAACATCTAGACTATGAGCAATAATCACTTGAGCAATAATCACTTAACCTTTATACCAAAGCTATCAGTCTCAATGCACTGAGAGGAACAYTTGGTTAAGTCTTAAAATTGCAAGGGTCAGCAGGGTGCAATGGGGCATGTCTGTAATCCCAGTGGCTTGGGAGGCTGAGACAGGAGTAATGGAAGTTYAAAGCCAGCCACAGAAACTTAGTGAGGCCCTAAACAACTTAATGAGACCCTGTCTTAAAGTAAAAAACAGAAAGGGCTAGGGATATAGTCCAGTGGTAAAGTGMCCCTAGTTTAAATCCCCAGTACTTCCCAGCCCCCCAAATTGGAATGTCCAAACTTCCCAGTATTTCAGGATAATAACGAATGTGCTCTATCAGATCACACTTAGTTCAGACCTAACCCCACACACAAGTGTGTGCTATGGCTAAAGACACTAAGGATAAAYATCTCAGACAAAGGGATATTAATTTCACGCATTCTGTGCGATGAAGTGATCTTTCTGGCAATGAGATATGTATAATCTATGAGTCCTGACCCAGGAACAAAGTTTAAAATTTTTTAGTTCCATATCTAGAGGACTATAGTCAACCAGCTAAGAAAGTGCCCCCTGGAATTTTAACTCAAGTCTAACTGTAAAGAGAGGTTTTAAATTTGGGGTTTAAGAGTCACAAAAAAAGTAATCGGAGCAAGGGATATGATATCCATATAAAAGGAATTTTATTAACGAGAACCCAGGATTTATGCAAAGATGGACTCACAGGAGACCATAAACTATCAGGAAGTTGTAATAGAGAGAAAAAGGGTCCTGCCTTTCAAGCCACGGAGGTGACTCTTACTAGGATATGAGGAGGGTATCTACAGTCTCTGTGGCAAACTGGCACACACAGGTGCCCAACAAACAGCTGTTGAAAACTGTAGGTATATCCCCAATTAGATGGTGGGCAACTTGAGTCTGTGCTCCTTTCTATTCTTCTCTCCATCCAGCGCAGTGCTGAGAACTTAGAATCTACTCAAAATTCATTAGGTAATTGATTTCCCTGCCTATGGTGTCTTCACAGAGGCACAAGTCACAAAATAGAGTTGTCTTTCAGATATGGATAAGTTGCCTGTTCCCTCAAAACAAAGGCAAAGGGGTGAGAGGGATGAGGAGAAGAGTGCTAACACTTTACCAAATTAATGAGGGGGTATATTGGTGCCCACAATGAGCTAGGAAATACAAAAACAGTTGTGAGCCCATCTCGGAAAAGCTTGAGCAAGTCTACAGGGACTAGAACCATTGCTGAATTTATGGTACCCTGGGAACCTCTATTTGTCAAGTGCCACAGAGGCAGCCCTGACACTGGCACAGGTGAAGATGAATTTTCATTCAGAGCAGTGAGCCTTCTGACTCCATTAATCCTCAGGGTTTTGATGATGAATTTCTTTCTTTTTTATTTTATTTATTTTCTCTCTAAAGCCTCCTCCCACTGCCCTGTAACAGTGTGGAAGGAAGAGAACAGATGGTGCTTTACGTGGAAGACCCAGGGCTCATGAGGATACAAAGCCTGCCCACTTTGCAATCACATGACCACACGTGCAAGGAAAAGCCTTGATTTCCCCCGGGAGTCACAGATGCAATGATATTAGTATTCCCAGTGGAGGAAGAGGAGGGGAAGGCTAACAGGCCATTTATAAGGAAGACCACACTTACACCAATATACTCTTCAGCAAGGCCCATGTTTAATCACAAAATAACAAGAGGACCAATATCTGAAGATTCAAAACACTCAGGAAAAATATAGGTCAATAAGGGTTTTAATATGCTGCCACACCAAGACTACTTGGAATGAACTAGTAAGGACATACAGTAGGAGAATACTGGCCTCTAGTTAACCTGCGATTGGCTCTGACCCAGTTTTAATCGGAAGAAGYCAGGATTTACAACCTGCTTAAGGATGGAGTTTGACAACTGCTATAATCAGAAGAGCTGTCAACACAAGGACAGCTGTCAAGCTCAACCGTAATTCATAAAAAATAATAGCTAAGCCCCCAAAGACTCCCCAATACTGTCTGCACTTGCTGGATTTAACCAYACTTATAATTTTATGAAAGTTCCAAGAGTAGGTTAAAGGGCTCTAAAATAAAATAAAATSGACAAATAGCTATTGAGCACCTACTAAATAAAGAGTTAAATAATATTAAGTGACTAAATGAATAAAAYATGCCCAGAAGATTCCCTGACATATAATAGGAGCTTAATAAATGGTAATTAGCATTACATATAAGACTGACTACCTTAGAACTGGCAAAAGTCTAGTGACATAATGAAGAAAAATAAATAAAAAATCAATCACTCTAGCCAGGTGCACTAGTTGTAGGATTATGACTGTAATCCTAGCAACTTGGAAGGCAGGAGGATTGCAAGTTCAAAGCCAGCCTCAGCAACATAGCCACTAAACAATGCAGGGAGACCCTGTTTCAAAATAAAAAATAAAAAGGGCTGGGGATGTAGCTCCGTGGTAAAGTGTCCCTGGGTTTAATTCCTAACACACACACACACACACACACACACACACACACCACACACATCACTCTAAGTGATTAAAATTAATTTTTAGAAAACATTCCCAAGTTGTCAAAATATTCTTGTTTATATATATATATATGTAATGTCACAAACCCCTAAAGATATTATTTTAGTGCTTATTTTTTTGATTATACTATATATGGTATTTTTTTTCACAATGTCTAATATAATCTAAGAGATGAAAATAGGGGTTGTTTCAGCAGATCAATTTTGGACAAGATTCTGGAATTAAGGAYAATTTTTATTAATGTTTAGCTTCTCAATGAACAGAAATAAGAAAATGCCCACAGATGGACAGAGATACTGATATGTATCTCACAAGTAAATCTTGACTCACTGACCAAGGTGACAAATTATAAGGAAGATCCCAGCAAATAAATAAATAAATAAACAAATAAATAAATAAAATT